ATAAAATTGATTAGTAAACTTTAAAGAAATTAAAAATAATGAAATCAATACAGGCTCTTATTATTGACTGGTGTTCCAGATTCAAAAGAAGTTTTGCGTCATTGTCAACCACAGAATGTGATTTTCCAAAACTACATAGCTGGCGATATCACATAATTACAACAATTCGTAAATATGGAGTCTTGAATGATCTCTTGACTGAAACATATGAAACACTTTACAAATCGTACGTGAAAAATCCATACTGATCATCAAATAGAAAAAATGTAATGCAGCAGATAGTAAATGCAGTAAGTTAAGTTACTCTTTAAGTTATTCAAAATACAATGTAATGCTAAACCATACTTATAGGTGAAGCGCAAAGAAATGATTGCAATAACGAGCAAAGTAGTTTATCATAAAATTGAAGGATTTGACAAGGTATTATAAGAATTACCTTTGGACGTCATCGAAGCAAAAGTGGTTTCGTTGAAGAATTTGAAGAGTTCACCACATCCAAACTTCATTGAAGGATTATCAAATATAATTTCCACATTAAACACTATCACGATCAGGCTCCTGGTAGTATTATTGTAATGTAGATCATCAGCAAATTTCTGATATGGTTGGAAATCGATTGTCAACCATATTCATTGGCAATCGATTACCAACATTCCCACCGATTATTATCGATTGTTGATCAATCGATAATAATCAGTTTTTTTATTATCGTTTACAAATGATAGAAATCATTTCCTATCGTTTACAAACGATTGCTATCGTTTGTAAACGATAATAAAAAAAACTAATTATTATCGATTGATCAACAATCGATAATAATCGGTGGGGATGTTGATAATCGATTGCCAATGAATATGGTTGGCAATCAATTTTCAACCGTATCAGAAATTTGCTGATGTGGTATACTTCCTGTTGACGATAATGATAATAATTACGAATTCGTAGATTTTACCGTGGATCATACTGAAACTGAGAGTGAACTCACAAATCTTATTTTTCAAATGCCCCAAGTTTCTGATTCTCAGTCAGTTATGGAGTATATTCAAATCGATAATTAAGTAGCAAGTGAGGAACAGATGACAGATGAAGAAATTGTCAAATTTGTGACTGGCGAAGAGGCTCAAGAACCTGAAAATCACGAAGAATTGAGTATACCGATAACAACAACAGATGCTTTAGAGGGATTAGGGAAGATAATAAAGTATTTGCAACAAGAGAATACTGTAGATGTTAACTTGGAAGTTATGAAGATGTTAAGTAGCTTGAATTGTCAGATTATTAGAAGAAACTTCGAGAGTAGACAACAATCCACTCTTATTAATTACTTTCCTAAATAATAAATATCAACTTTAATCATGTTTTATCATATTTAATACATTTTAATTACAAATTATTTATTTTTAATTCGATATGATATATTATAAAAACATTCTTTATAGTGTACTTCACATGATTTAGTATTTACTACACTATAAAGTGAGATTTCGTTTTTGTGGATCTTTCTTTATAGTGTAAAAACTGGTTGAATTTTTGTATTACACCATAAAGAGAGTCACTGTGTAATAATCTCTTTTTTATATTGCTATTATTTTTAGTTCTTTTATATGAGAATATTTAGAAATGATTAATAATGACTGTATTAATGACAAATTTTAAATAAAAATAATATAATAAATGATTGATAATAATAAATTAATGAGAATATAAATATAAAGTAAATATAAGTGATAATAAAATGATATTAAAACTAAATATATATTATAAATTAAAATTAAAAGTATATTATAAGAAATAATAATGATATAATAATAATTAAAAATGAACAAGAGTAAAACAAAGATAAATAAGGAGAAGATAAAAGAAAAATAATAAAAAATAATAGAAAAACAAGGAAAGAAAACAAACAAACAAAAATAAAGTAAATAAAAGAAACAAAAAGGAATAAGACAAGACAAAAATTAAAACCAAGATATAATCTTTTTAGTTTATTTCAAGTCAATCTCATATTATATATATAATGAATTTGAGTTATGTTAATCTATATATTATTTATATATATAAATTACAAAGAAAAATTAATAAAAGTATAAATCTATAACATGTTGAAATATATATAAATTACAAAGAAAAATTAATAAAAGTATAAATCTATAACATGTTGAAATATGATAACTATTGTATAAAATTAAAAAGAAATTTGTATAAAATCTATATATATTGCTAATTAAATTAATGTAACAAGAGATAAAAATAAAGTACCAATAAAATTTAAAATATAAATTAATGTGAAATTACTATAAATTAATTAATTAAATAAATAATAATTAAAATGATAAGATAAAAATAAAAAATAATTGAATAAAAATATAAATTATTGCTATTGAATAATAATAGAAGAAAATTATAAAATATAGAAAAGGAAATAAAAAATAATAGAAAGAATATTATTACACTTTTAATATAAATACATGTTAAAAATAATAAAAGATAAATTGATAACAATATTATTGTTATTTTTTTTGTAAAAAAAAATATAAATAAAGATGCAAATTCAAAAAACTTTTTATTAATTTGTTTTTCAAGATTTATAATAATATATATTCAAATTTTTATTAATTTATTAATTTTATACTCACAAAAAAGAAAGTTCAAAAATATGAATCTTGCTATTATTTCAGAACCAAAAAATAATCTATAAAAATTAATAAAAAATCCTTAATTAATAATTAATATATATTATTCTAATTATATTTTAATTAATCAGTCAATTAAATATTCTAGTAAAATATTATATAGTATATACAAGTTAATAAACAAAATAGTTAATGACTTTTATAATTTTTAATATTATGATTAAAAATAATATATAAATTTAATTTTTGACATATTGAAATTATAATTTAATAAATATTGAAATTATAATCTAATAAGATGTTATTGCATATTATTATATACAATTAATCAATCTTCTTATTATTAATATTTATTACAAAACAAATTTTACTTGGATTAATATATTGATATTAACTTTAATCTCTGAGTTATTAATCTTTTTATATCAAAAAAAATACCTGGTCCCATCATGTTGTATTCTGAACCATTACTAGAAAAACTGAGAATTTGTTCTCAATATATACATTAATAATATATAAAAATTGATATAAGAATCAATTATCATTAACATAATAAATTAACTTTTATCATTTTTTTGGTTTTAGTTTTTATGAAACATTTTATTTTATAATGAACAAATAATAATAATTGATGGAGATAGTAATAAATGAAATGACAGATAAATAATATAGTGTAATGTTATAAGATGTATTAGATGCCTGATATTTCTAAACGCAGTCCAGAGAAATTTTTTGATAGGTCCATTGATAGATCACGTGCACTACACGATCTACAAAAGAATAAATAAGATTGATATAGAAATATCCTAGAGAATACAGTAACCTTTGCTTACCAATATTGACTCTCCATGCCCAGTTTTATTAGATCAAGGATCACATCCTCAACTGCCACACATCTCGGACATATATCATAGTCACATTGTTGACATCTTAGACGCTTCCCTTGATAAAATTTAGGACACTCGTCACATTTCCATGGTCCTAATGAATCTGTATATCGCATAGGATGACTACTTGGGCATTTTTTGATAGGCTCACATCGATAGCTAGGCTTGCAGTGACTAGCGCAAGCATCAAAATTGCAAGTGGTACAATTATATTTGGATCTCTGTCAAAAATATCCAGATAGAAAGTGAGTGCTGCAAAAACGAAAAGAATGTTCTTGTAATGAAGAAAAAGATGAAATTTTTCACCGATGTTGTTCCCTCTTTTCCACACACGTCACAAAACCACTGCCTTGCGCGATTTGATTCCTTCAATTCATGTCCCGCAAAACATAGTGGTAAGGGATCACGCAATGTTAAAGTCATGGATCCAGACACGTCGATTAGCAAAGTGTAATCAATGGCAACGTCACTGAGCTCCCTACGTTGTTGGACTTCAGCCCATGAAGCAGAAACATTATTAATAGAGAATTGGTTAATCGAGAGAACGTGGGAAGTGGTAATTTCCAAAGCAATGGTCAGGAATGCAAGTTCGAGTAAGTAAAAATCTTTGACTGGAATATAGGTGAATTTGCCAACACGAGACATCTGGTTTCATTATGAAAGATATGGAGAGATAATATTCAGCGCGTGAGATCTCTTTTAAAAGATCAAAACAATGTGCCCTTTATTTTACAGGGACAAAATGACAGTGTTGGCTAGAGCTTCATTCAAATTGATTTGATGATTTGATTTACAAGTATATTATTTATTATTATCTAATTCCATATTTTTTTTGACCAACACTAAAAAAAGACTGATTCGAATTTTTGTCGAATGCATGGGTCAATTCGGATTTGTATATATTCCGAATAAATCAAAATCAAATATTCAAATCAGGAGCACTAGTGTTGGCATTATGTCTTTTTGGCCATTTGGAAGCTGTTATAAAGCAAACAATTTCTTTCATAACCTTTGGCTACAACACTGGAATGATGTTAACGACAACATCGCCACAAAAAGCACTCATTTATCATATTTGTAACAATCCTCCGATAAATAGTAAAGAATGGCTTACCCTTTGCATTTCATCTGCATTCACGCCGTCTCCAACCCCGAGGACAAATAAGAAGTTATTATCCACACTAGTAAATTTGGTGTAGACATCTTTACCACACTTCTCAGCACTCCTGCTGCTGCGAGTATCTTCTCCATCAGTCACGACAATCATGACCCAAGGGCGAGAAGAATCAGCTTTGCGACGGAAAGTATCGACTGCTACGTCAACTATACTGTCATAGAGGCGAGTTCCATCAGACGCAACATTTGTTAACGCATTGAGAGAACGATGAAGTACTTTTGCATAAGAAGTAAAGCTCTTCAAAGAAGTCATACATAAATAGAATTAAAAAATAGTGCAGAAGCAGTAGCAACACCGCACAGTGTCATAAATGAACAACGCTCTACCTGTCTAATTACTAAAAAATCATTAAATGTCGCTATGCACCCGCGATCTAATCCATCACGGTGCAAATTTGTTATAAGTTCATTGCTAGCTTTGATAGCACGACTCAATCCAGTTTCCATTTTTTTTGTCTCAGTATGGTAAAAGTGGGAATGAGAGGGTAAGCAAAAAAAAGCATTGCTTTATAAAGAGCTATGGATTCATCTAAAATTTTTAATTTCATTAAAAGTTTCTTTGTTAGCTTCTTTGTTGATATTCGTAACAGCATTATTTTATTTATAGAACATTAACATTTGGTTTTGTTATCATTTACTGATTTTATTTATGGGAACATTCTTTAGATTGTTTATCTAAATACAATTTTTGGTTGATTGAAATGGAAACGTGAATTAAATTAAAAAACAATTCTCTGACGGTGACACAATTGAATGAACGTGCGGTATCTTCGGTTACAAGTTTATTGGACACATGGGAACCGACCATTATCAAATTTCCTAATTTGGAGTGACCAATCCAATCGCAAGCCCATGTGCAACACACAAAGGCATATTTATGGTGCGCTGAAAATTTTGCAGATCATTACTTGTACAATTGAATGATTGGACAGATTTATTATAAATTTTTAAATAGATAGTCTATCGCTATTAAATGACATTTTTTTTTACATTAAAGTTCGTATCAATATGAAAAAATCCTTGCAATTCAAAGTATTTGAAGTGACTAAGCTGGTGCACCATACTTTATGTGTGTTACACATGAGCTTGCGGTTTGATTGGTCGATTTAGTGATATATAGTATAAGATCAGAACGGAGTCTGGATTTCTTGGCAAAACTATGTTTAATGGTTCCTAGCACAATTTACCTTTGTAAACTAAAAAAATTCGCATTGAAATGACATCGAGTAAATGCTAGAAATGTGTCAGCTATCCACATAATGCAATCATAAAGGATTAACCAGATTTTTTCTCCTTTACCATTTTCATTTCATTCTCATGACTTCTTAACATAATCATCACGATCAACGATTCATGCCCGAAGGTTCGTTTTATTAAATAATAAATTGCAAAAAAACCAGAACTTTCTATGATGGTGGCACATTATCATTCGACTAACTAACATCATGTCTCAGAGAGGCACTTGACAATGTCAAGTTAGAATTACCATTCGCATCATCACCTCCGGAATGCCCAATGATATCGAGCTTGTACCAACCCCACTGCCATTATTCCCCAGTCCCAGAGGTGCCCTCGCGGAAGTTGGACCACGGAGATGCTGATCGGTTCTGGCTCCTCAAGCTCACAAAAGATGATCGGTGACTTCTTCAATGGGTGGAAGGATACGGTTTCGGCGACCTTTCAAGAAGATACACTCGCATTTATGCACTTGATCGAATTGGGTTAAAAAATACACGGCTTATTAAATTGATAAACGATACTAATAGTATGAGGAATCCTAACTGGGCCGTATTTTTCAATCACAAAGGCGAAGCTTTTGATTTATTCATAAATACAAGAGCTTGCGCAAGTAACTACTCTAAAACTAATAAATGATAAACTTTGCTACTTAAAAACGTGAAAACGCGTGAATGGTTTTTGATTTAACTATCACCGATATATTGTAATACATAAATTAAACTATATAAGTTTACTAATTAGAAAGTTTTCAGAGATCGACTTGCGCCGTATCGAAGAAATTAGCTCGACTAATCAACTAGCCGACTTGCGCCGGCGCATCCTAGTCAGCTTGGCTTTACTTATTTGTGCATGTAATACAAAACATGACATACATTTATGGATATTACAAGTTAAGAGTAAGATTATATGTAAAATTGTCTCCCCGAAATTTTTTATTAGTACTTCAAGTCAGATTTGAACATTCATTTTCCGTTAAAATGATCGGTACACTGAACAAAAATGTCAGGAAGGCAATTTCACATATAATCTTGGCTCCAGCTCTAGCCTTAACCCTAATCCTAACCTTTAAATTATAATCTTTATTACCGTAGAATTTTTCCGGACATACATGATCCAACACTTTTTTAGCCACAGCTAATATATTTATTGATGACGTAGCAAACACTACCCTTAAGTGCACGCTCTCCCTAAATGCACATTATCGTTATAGACCGGTGCCTACGATGAGAGAGTTGATTGTATCGGCCTCCTCATCATAATCTACTTCATCATCTTCTATTTCTTCCAAAACTTCGTCTAATTCATCATCTTCGGCCACATTATGCTCTTTAGTCTGTTTATAATACATTTCCACGAGTTGTTGGCTAGTAGTTGTGTCTTCTATTTTTTTATCTTCGCGAACACGTAAAAATCGAGGAAATCTAAGTGAAACCTGTATATCATATAAATTCTAGATTTATTATATATTCTATGTAATGTAATATATGTTTATTATATACAATATATAATAAACAAGAAGCTTTTACCCCTTTATCACGATCCACTTTTCCACACGCAGCCTTATATACCGGCGATATAGTGATATCGGCTCCTATTAATCATAGATATAATAAAAGACACAAAGAATCTAAAAATCCATGGGAACAAATTATTAAAGTCCAAACCTCGAATTTCCCATACTTCTTGTGGTTCAAACCATACTAAAATAATAGGAAGAGGAAAGAGAAACATTCTATGAATTGTATAAAAGAACACATAACCCCAATTGATAGAGAAATTGACCTTCGGGTCTTAATCCTTCATCAACATCATAATACCATTTTTTCGTTTCCAATAAATTTCCGTTCTCATGAGAATATCGTTGTTTCATTTCTTTATAAAATTCATCGCTAAATCCTGACATGCATTTACATAAACTTTCAAACATTTCAGTTTCTGGATTATAAACGGCTAAAAGTATTGGACTCCACCAATTCACCTTTCTGCCGTTGCCATGCCAGGCACCAATTGGCTATATAAAAAAAATTATATTTAATGAAAAAACTCCAAGATAAATACGCATTTATATTATTACCACGACATCAAGACTATCCCCAAGTCCTTCAATATAATCTTTTTTTAGTTTGATCCAACTCTCCAATCTTTTATCTAAATTAAAATATCAAATTCAATGATTATGCATTAAAATAATAACGTAATATTAAGAAAAACCTAACCTGGTTCATAGCTGGCTAAAAAGTTCATTCTTGTCTTGATGTCTAAAGAGCGTGGTGGCTCATCTAATACTTTCACCATTATTCCTTCACACCCTGCCTCAATTGACTCTCTAAAGAATTCGTGGATTTCTTCCTCGCTCGAAGATTCAATATGCTTAACAAACGCAAATTTGTTTGGTATTTGATTAAACCTAGTTTCTAAGAGATCACGTCGTTCTCGAAGTGATTTCTTAAGCAGAGGCTATCAATTATAAAAATACATAGTAATCAGTAATGTTCAGCCATACTTGATAATAAATAATTATAGAATAAGTACCTCTTCATTCAAATACATTAGATCAAATGCAAAAATACATATAGGAATAGTAATCAACGACAGGGTGACATTCTTACGAGATCGATTTGATAATTTTTGAAAATTTTCAATTTTCCCATTTTCTCCGACTGCCACGACTTCAGCATCTAATATGAAGGAGGTAATTGAATCTTTTCGTGTTTTTGGTATTATATCTACTATGTCCGGGTATTTTTCAGTTATATTCTATCGAGAGAGTAAATTTATTAATGAAATCTGAGATTGAGAATTATCATGAGCAATAAAAAAAACATACTTCCAAATGACGACTAAATACCGATACTTGACGATTAGATGACGAATTTGAATTGTAATGTATTTGTACACGTTGACCATCGTATTTCATCTCGCAATTGCAAGGTCTTCCTTGAAGTTTCTTAAACAGTGAGTCAAAATCACGCGTAATTTGTCCTAACATCGGACGTAAGGGCACTCCTGCGAATTATAGATAGTATACTCGACTAAATAAGTAAATATAATTGTAAGAGGAAGAAAAAGAAAAAGAAACAACTACTGACCGACTGTTAAATGACATAATTCCATTAGTTTATCAATTGGATGTGACAGTAAAGTATTTACAATCCCATCATAATTTGGATACTGTGCAAAACACTCTTTCAATAAACTTTCAGCAGCTTTAAGTTTTGTATTGATTGTTTCCTTCGAATCATTTGTAAAATCAACACTGTATTGACTATTTGCAATTCTGTCGATCCCCTTTGGGCTTGTCAAACAAAATGCACGCGCCAAGGAAATTAATACTATCTTAACGGAAAAAGAATCAGTAATTGAAAAATTAAAAATATACTCCAGAATTTAAATACCTGATTTTCCAACAGCGCCAACACGCAAATTTCTAATCAATGTCCTAGTAAGATATCTCACCTCCTCACCTTTACACGAGATTAATAATTTTTTCACTAAATCCGTTTTCTGGTCCACCATACCATTACCCTTCAATTTCGATATACCCAGCAAATTTTTATATACCGTACGGATATCAAGTGGTCGTGGCTCGAACAGTGTTCGCACTGAAACCTTTGCTTCATAAGCGACATCACCCCAATCACCATATTTATCATAAAAAGCCTTTAGAGCTTTATGTGAACACCCCGAAACTGAAGTGACTGCTTTCGATAAAACATGCGACCCAATGCCAAGTTCCACTCCTTCATATGATGGTGTGATCTCGTTTGACGAAAGCCAAACTGCAGGCAATACACTGGCCGAATCATGATAGATCAAAACGCGTAACATATTTGTTATATAATCCAGTATTTTTATTCGACTTTTCGTTTTATCAACCAATGAAAAAGTAGAGCAGAGAAAGCTATATAGAGTGGGTGTACTCCATTCGATTTTTGATGGATCAAATTTTACTATGTCTTTTGACAAAATTGTTTCGAAATCGATATTTTCTCTAGATTGGCTGCTGGGAGTTGTGTTTAATTTTGTTTCTTCAAGCTGTGTGTCATCTCGAGTAGCTTCTAAGGCTGAATTCTCTTCTCTTGTTGTCTCAGTCTCATGAATAATCCCTTCTTCCGGAAACTTTGTTTCATTCTGTCGTTTTAGTTGATTATTAAAAAAGAATTCAAGTTTGGGCTGTTTTAGGCTCGAATCAATAGTTTTTGCTTTCTTTTTTACGGGCGATCTTTTTTTTAAAGAACCTGCAAGTTTCCTTTTCATTGTGTTGGCTAAACAATTTGAACTCTAGTTTCAAATTTTTATAATTTTTATGATCAACACTATAATTTTGTTGATCTTTTATAATGCTGACCAAAATTAAGCATAATTTAAGAAATTTTTTGATCTTCAACCAAAAATTAATACAACTGGCTCTCAATATAAGTAACTTTCTTATATCTAGAGCGATTTTGAGCTCGACCTTCTTATATCAAATTTTAATTATTCTTTATATCGAGAGTTTCTTATATCGAGTCACTTGTAAACAATTTAATGTAACTTTGAACTTTTAGAATTGTTGGATTTTATTAATAAATGCTTTTATAATTCCAGACAAAATTATAATATAAAATTTTTCCGGAATGATCAACAGTAGAAATCCCGTTAGTACATACAGTAGATGTTTAAATTTTGGAAAACTATATCGAGTCATTTCGTGAAATAGGTCCGGGGAAAAAATTGGTTACAGTGTTGAACTTATCGAGTTTCACTTGTGCTGATAAGTCATTGGTAAGGTAATAAATAATGGCTTCGGAATCCACAGATGAAAGCTGGTATTTCAAGAGAAGACGCAATACTAAAATACTAACCCCCCCCCTTTTCCTCCGACTTGGACAGACATTAGATGAAAATTACTTTTCAATTTGTAAAATAGAAACAGTAAATATATACAAATAATTATTCGATTTTCAATTCTGTTACTGCAAAAGCTTTTTAAAGGTTATGTGATGAATGTATATGTAATCGTGTGGATTTTCATTGCATATAGTAATTAGATCTTTTCTCCAGTAAAACATTCGATTCTTTAGTTACTGTCTTGGGCACCTTTTAAAATGTCACTAAAACCGATGGGCGATATATACGCTAACGGGAACCAGAATGCATATACAGAATCTGTAGTAGAACCCGAGTTGAAAAAGAATGTTCTCGCTAAAATTACCCTATATCTTGTGAATAACCAAATTGGTGAATGTTTACATGAGCTCGAGCAGCTTACGTTTGTCTCCTTTCCCGCGTGTTTATCTTCAGTTGTACTTATAAGAATTTTCTACACATTTTTAATTAGAGTTCCCGTTAACCATCATAACTATTATTACAACATGTTGGGCGATAGAGGTGCCCGGTTTCGAGAAATTTGTTACTTTGCAACATCGAGACCTAAAAACAGGATTATATGTGAAGGGAACAGATGATTTATACTTTATTTTCCTTTGGGTGACAATATTTACCTTGCTCAGAGCAAGCACAATGGAATATATATTAAAACCACTAGCAGGATGCTGGAAGATAAAGAGCAAGTATCAAGTAATAAGGTTCGCAGAGCAAGGATGGTCGTTCTTATATTATTCTGTATTTTGGACACTTGGAATGGTAAATTACGATGCTTACGCTCTTTTTTGTGATATTTTAAAAGATCACATGATGCATCATTTCAAATACTCTTTACTTACGCGTCTTATCATCATTATTGATAGTACATAATGTACCATTCACCATATTGGTTCAATACACCTCAATTTTGGATAGGTTATCCACACAACAAAATGACATATCTCTTTAAATGGTATTATCTGGTGCAATTAGCTTTCTGGGTTCAACAAGTTTTTGTAATTAATATTGAGAAAAGGCGAAAGGATTTCGCGGAAATGATAGCGCATCATGCGATTACCATTTCGTTGATGAGCTTTTCATATTTATACAATTTGACCCGGATTGGGAATGCTGTTCTATGTTGTATGGATTTCTCGGATATTTTACTGCCGGTATTTCTAAAGTTCATTAATTCTCGAATCTTAGACTATCAAAAGCATTCACTCACCGATTGATTATCTTTTATTCAATAAATCGTACAATCAATCAATCAATAACCGATCGAAACAATCAGCTAGCGAAAATGTTCAAATATATGAATTTCACCAAAGCATGTGATTTTTTATTTGGAGTCTTTATGGTTTCGTGGGTGGTGACGCGCCATTATTTTTTTGGTTATTTAATATATTCCGCATACGCGGAATCGGGGCGTTACTTAGAGCATAAGTGGTCACCGGAAGAAGAAGCATATTTTTCGAAAAATGTCCTGTGGTTTTTCATGGGACTACTTCTCTTTCTTCAAGCGATCATTATATTCTGGTTTGTGCTGATTTGTCAAGTAGCCTGGCGAGTGATTCGTGGCGACAATGCTCACGACAATCGAAGTGATTCCGAAGAGTTTGTGTTTTTCTTTTTCGATCATTCTCGTGGATCTTGTTCTTATGAATTTGATTGATTCGATCATTCTTATTTCTTTAGTGACGAGGAAGCATTGAATATACATGGAAAAGCAAATGGCAAGGTTTTATCGCATAAAAGCAAAAAAACAAACTAAAATCAAACCCGAACGACCAGTCAACCAACCAGCAAAATCATTATCGTTCCCGTGATGAACAATTACCCATAAAGTTTAATAAACAAGTGTGTTTTTGGAAGGTGCACACGTCTATTCTAATAAAATTCATAAGATAATAAAGTATAGAATTCTAGAATCTAATATATATAATATAATATAAGAATTTCATATCGATATTCTTATTATAGCATTTAATTGATCTAAATTTACATTATGTGTAACTAGTAATAAGTCATTTGACACATCACTATTCTTTTCCTTTCGATGAGCCTCGAAGCCGCACGAAAAACGGTTTTTATTACAGTCGGCTCTACAGGCTTCGACGACTTAGTTCGCATAACAACGTCTGTTTCTTTTTTAGAACTCGTCTCCTCGTTGGGATATACCCGTGTATTAGTACAATATGGTAAAAGTCATAGTATCTTTAATGGATCGGTTGCAAAAGACATAAAGGCCTCGAATGGTCAGTATGCGAAACTGTCGAAAATAAAAGTTGATGGCTACGATTATAAATCATCTTTACGCGACGATATGGAAAATGCAGAGCTGATAATTAGTCATGCTGGTAATTGAATTGCTTTTTGAATTTCTTTGGGAATTCGTACACACGCCGTGAACAGAAATTCATGGAATTAATCACCGAAACCAGGCTCTGGATCCATTTTAGAATCGTTACGACTCCATAAGAAATTGATTGTAGTAGTCAATGACGCGCTAATGAACAATCATCAAAATGAACTGGCAGTTGAGCTGTCATCTCACAGATATCTCTTGTATAGTTCTGTCAGGTGAGGGTGGAGCTTGTTTATTTATCTCGAAAAGAACTTGAAATTTTTGAAAGTTTACGTCTTTTTATTTGATCAAAGTGATTTATTGGAAACCCTTAAATCACGACGTTATGAAGAATTAGTACCATTTCCAGCGCATAATGAGAATTTATTTGTGAATATTTTGGATGAAGAAATGTGATTTATAATGATGATATAAATTAATAATTATTACATAATAGACATAGTTACATAATAGAAGTATGAGGAATCATTGTTGATGAGAGAGTATCCACTTACTTCATATTTCATTTCAGAATTATTAATGAATAATAAGATGTATATTTATTATTAAATCAGGTTCGAAAGATTGCACAAAACAAAAATTGTTTATATTTCTTTCTCACCCAAAAAAAAGAGATTATGTATATATATATATATCGAAGAATAGCATTTTTTCAAGCTTAGATACATGCGATTTTCTTAAAGGAAATTATTTACATACGTTGAAATTAATTATTAATTTAATTTGAACATGAGCATGATGAAGAAGAAAACACCTACAATAAACGCCGCGTTCCAAAAATCACACGTTACAAACCCTCTAGAGAGGCCATGGCTTCATCCAGTTCTTGCTTAGCTTTCTGATTCTCGGCCTTAAGGTCCTCGATTTTCTTTTCTAAGTCCCCACGTTGAGTCTCACTATTTGATAATTTTCGTTCCAAATGCTCTTTTTCGAGTTCGGTGGCACGGAGCCTTTAAAAAATATTCGTTGGTTTGAGGAGATTTTTAAAAAATCCAATTTATTAAAGTAACAATGATTTTTGCAACATACTTTTCTGTTGTTTCCCTTAAAGATTTTTCAGCTGCATCCAAATCACTCTCAAGAACGGAGGCCTTGTTCTGGAGAGAAGTAAGTTCTTGTTCTTTCTGTCCCAGTGTTTCTTCAAGTCTTTTTACATCGGCTTTTGCTTGATCTGCAGCCTGGCGAGCATCATCGACTTCGGCACGAAGACCGCTCATTTTCTAAAATTACAAAGAATATTTGATTTTTTTTGTAAAATTTAAACAAATATACCTAGGTTTTATTCTATAAACTAGCGGCATTTTCATTCTAAAAGTAAAATAAGCTTCAATAAACAACTATTCAAAGTGCATTGTGACAAGTATAATGGACTTTGTCATTCAGTGTTTATTGGCAAGACGTCAATTGGCGCATACGCATATATGTAAAAATTGAATAAGTAACGCTTTTGGTGAATCTTCTAACCTCCTTAAGTTTGTCCATTATTGTGTTTTACGAGAACTAGGAACGATCGTTCAAGATGAAGTTTGAAGAGAAAGCGGAGTCGAGGAACAGAATTTTTTTACCAGGAAGCAAATTCTACATGTGACGCTGCCTATAAGTAATGTATGCAACGTCCACCATGTAAATCTTTCGCCGATCATAATTTCCTTTTTCTACATAAAAGGAAATCGGTAGTGTAATTTATCAAATTTATCATCATTTACTTTTCGCCTACTTTGACTTTTTTTACCATGTCACCACAGAAATTCTTTTTATATATAGCAGTGATTGTGGTTTCCACATTTTATTTACTAGCAATGGCGAAAAATTCACCCCATCATACTGAAGGAGGTATTATTGATATTACGGTCTTGGGACGAGTTTGTTTCTGGGTTTTTTAACAATAAAATAGTAAATACATCTTGTTATTAAACACTAGAATACAAGACATATATTGTTGTCTTTAAAAAAACAGCAACAGATGCAAAAGTTCAGGATATTGAGAATTTCTTAACTTCCAATGGAGGAAGAATTAAAAATGTGTATTCCACCCTGTTTAAAGGATTCACTGTGGAGATACCGTCTGATGAGGTATTAGCTTTAGATGCTGACAACGATATTGACTTTGTCGAGGAAGATCAAAAAGGTATGTCTTCAACCAGAAGTTTAATTAATTAATTCAATTCTGAAATGATTATTTTATTATGTATTCATTAACCATTTTTTTTAAATAGTATCAATCTATAAATAACAAAATGAAACAATCAAGTATATTGCTTTGTCTTTGAGACTTGAACAAATCATTATCATTTCTCCAAAACATATAATAAACACATTTATTATCATACTATATAATACTTGAGATCTCAAAGCTTCACGATTTGCTCTAAAATCAATTCCAAGCTCGGAAGTTCATAAACTTGGGCATGTCTTCTAATTCACCTAATCAGCAATCTATCTTTTTCCCACGAGCATGATTTGTTATCTTTTTTTGTCTAGTCACACTAAAAACAATATCTTTGGATCGGGTGACTCACTTCTTTTTTAAATGAAATTGTCTCTTGATGAGAAGAATCACCCAAGAGGAGGTTGAGAAGTTCATTAAGTTCTGAAGGTTTGCAGTTTAATTGAATTCTGTTATTATGCGAAAGAAAATCTTTATATGCTATCACATTAAATCGCGTCCAGTTTTTTTAGCAGGGAACATTTTAATCGAAATGCTGCATGACATAGCCTTGCTTACGTAATATGAATGTTGCTTACATTGCGCATAATATAGTGATTTTTCCGTTTACCTTGTTGACTTTAACAATTTAAAATACAGTCAACTCTCCCTAAATGCAATTCGCCGGACCATATGACTAACCAGACATGAGCGTGCATTTTGAGAGAGATTGCATCGGTCTTATAAGCTTGGGACTGAGCAAGAGCGTGCATTTAGGGCATGCGCATTATTCATTCGCGCTGAAATTCAAAGTTGTTGAATTTAAACCTTTATAATGTCAAAAAAATAGAATTTAAAGAAAATATACAAAAATTATAATTTCAGTGAATTCAGACAAACTCGTCGAACACGATTCTAATTTTTGCTGTATAGTCAAATCAAGTTTCGAGTTTGCAATAACTTAGTAATTCGTTATTTCGTTATATCAAGATTTACTATATTTTTTATAACGAATTGTTCAAACTTTGTTATATCGAGATTTTAATTATACCAGTTTTGACTGTATCGGTATATCGATATAGGAAAATGAAATTCGTGTTTTACACCATTATGTAGGACAAACATCTGAAAGTTTACACAAAAATATTTTAAGCAATCACTTTTATCATTTCATTTACAATGTTAAAATCAAGAGCTTTTAACGTGGGAATGTGTATATGAAACAAGAAAATTGCCAAGAAATTATATACATGCAGTCAAAATTATACTCAATTAATTGCGTCATATGAATTTAATTAACCCAATAACTTTGAACACATGTATAAGGAAAACTCTGCACTTTTTTATCAAGAATCAAAATATAGCTGTTAGCTCTTCAACAATACGTACATAACTACCTTTATGAATTGGCTGCATTGGTAAAGGAAAACCTTCAATGTTTGATGAAAATAGTATACCATATTTATATTTCAAGTTACTGCAAACATGTTTACTTGGTGGCTTAAAACAGAAATTTTCGGTATTTTTCTAAGCGCGAAATTCTTGTGAACTTTAAATGCTTCTCTTACATGTAATACTTGTCTAACACCAATAAAAACATGTTGATTATCGCTGTTTGCATAATTTTGCAAAAGTAATTGTAATCTCGCTTTTATTGTCTCTCTATTAAAGGGATTATAAAAATCGATTATTTTGTAAATCGATTTTTAGAATCAATTCCTGCCCTAAATAGAGACGATATGTAATATATGTAAAATAGTATTTATTTTCAACTTCGCAACAAAAAACAAAGGTAATCAACAACAGAAAAAAGAAATCCGAAAATAATCATGAGATTACGATTACTTTTATACAATGATAAAGAAAAAAAATGATCTTTTATCGATGGACTAAAAAACAAAAGAACTCGACTCCAAACATTTCAAGTTGAAATGTACTGTTGCTTCTAATAGAAAAAAAAGAAAATTGAATGTTATCTGGTGATACACTTAATTTTCTGATCTTAATTAAGTGACCGTGTAAGCGAGGTTGATTTAATCAACAATGAATGTCTGAAAACCAAAAAATTCGGTACAAATAAATATTTATTATGATCAAGCGAGCCTCGAACAAAATTCAAGCAGTACAAATTCATTGCTACTTTGTTGCATATCCTTTCAATTGGAGAATCTTTGGAATGCTACATGAACATAAAAAAGGTTTAGCCTCAAGTTTTTTTTTTTAATCAACAAACCATTTTATAATAGAAGCCATCTGGACATTAGTTATTATCGTTATATAAAATAAGTAATCATTAAGGATTTCACTAATTTGGGGTTGGGTTAACTATTATTACATTACATTAGATTAGATTAAGTTCGTACCTATGGCCTTTCTCGAACTTAAAATTTAAGGCTAATTTGTACTTTTATGCTCTACATGTCTGACACGAAACAAAAAAACGTGTTAAAATTTTTCTGTCATTACTTTTAATGGCACAAAGATATAAAAGATATATTATAATTATATACATGGATACTTGTCTTTCAAGCCAAAAAGCAATAATGTTTAATTTCCTTTTAGATGAAGAAGCATCAACATAATATTTTTAAGTTCGAAGGAACCAATAAAGAGACCACGAGAAAATTAGAGAACTGGCTGACCATCAACCACTTTGTTTGCTATCGAAGATAATCGAACAAGATTTTCTACAGGTAATTGTCTAGCAATGATTCATAATGAGCCTTAACAGTATGCATGCGCCTTGAAATCTAATTTATCTATATTTTACATAATTAAGCCATTAATTGTGTAATACCGATACGTATAAATAAAATAAGATAAGGATCAACAAATTGTGTCGCTTCATCTACACTTTAATGTTCTCTGAATAAACTCGGATACCCCAGGCCAAATTCCCAAATGCTAAAAACGATACAGATCTATTACAAATCCGCGTTAATAAAAAAAAACACCGAGATACACTTTACATTGTTAAGTGATTCTCGATCCAATATCCAATATTGATATTGGATCTTGGCGAAGAAAGCGCGTGTGTATAAAATGAACGAATTTTTTAACTTTTTCCTTTCGCCAAATTTAACTTTCACATTCTCGCAAAGATATCGACAGAACGAATATATGTGGCTTTGATTATTAGATTAGTAATTTGCTTAGACAATTAATTACATGGCACCCAGAAACTAAATCGATCAATCGATAACTTGCATTTTTAATTTTCTTGTGTACGTATTGCAAGTTTAAACCGTGCGACAGTTAGCATATGAAATTCAAGAATCATGTCAATTTTCCTAATTTGTTTTTTATTTCGCTAAAAGCAAGCCCACATACATGTCTACACATTAACATTTAATAAAACAGATTAGAAACAATTCACACGCACTCTCTCAAATACATAGAACACTGTTATAACTGTTTTAAAATCTTAGGTTATGCCACTACCATCAAAGATTAAAATATTTTATCGAAATCGCTTTGCCCCAAGAAAATCTCGGCTGATTTTTTTTTGTGTAGCTTGGAAGATCGTTTTTTTTTGTTATTGATAGAATCTCGAAATAGTCTCGATCAATTTTCGTAAAAATCAGGGTCCACTTAAAACAATAACCGTACTAACGCTAATGGTGAATGTGCGAATTTATATCTATTATATATGTATTCACTCGTGGGTCTTTTACATGGTATTTATTTCTTATATAAAATTAAGTTCACACACGAGCGAGTAAATTCCTTTACAGAATAATCAAATGGAGACACATAGTTTGCATTGCATTGCATTGTACTATTCTATGCTTGGGCACTAATAACAAACAAACAAGAATAAATTGGGATTCCGTTTTTCTATATACGAGATTCTCGCTTGCATGCTTGGGAATATTGATGATGTTGACAAAGTTTGCATTCTTTCCGTTTCATGTAATCTTTTTCTTGTTATTAGTGGTGCATTGAATTTTTGTTATGTGGATTTGGTGCACTTTAATTTTTGCTATGCGCACTTGAGAGCAAGTTAGAGTCAACGAGAAAATTTTCATTTGCAGATACTGCACCATCAATTTTATGCACGTTTTTTTTTGTCGAAAGAATTGGGAAATTACGCGGTTATGTTTTGTAGTATAAGGTCATTCTTTTCAATGGATTGAATCTATTGACAAACATTATTATATTGTTCAAACTACTTGCGACAAATATAAAGTTTTGGCATGCACGCAATTAACATATGACGATGTAAGGAGAATAACGTCAAGTTTCCTTTTGATAGTTGACAATAAATGGAATTCTATTTACCAGAAACCGTTTTTATTTGTGTACGTTTAGAAAGATGGAAAAAAAATGCATAATAGGGTTTTTTTGCTGCGATTGTTTTGGTCTATTTGTTCATAACGCGCAAAGATATATGTATATTAGGAAAAACAATTATATGACGAACGAACGAATAGCGATGGAAGTTGTATAAACGAACAAAATAAAAATAAAAATAAAAATAAAAATAAAAATAAAAATAAAAAATAAAGGAAAAACATGTATGCAAAGCGATCATTCTGTTTGATTTGATCTTCGATTCGAAAAAAACCTTTCTTTGCTCGTGGTATTCAGTAATGAATTCTCGCAATAAACTAACTTAACAAATACCAATTAAACTACCCTTTCTTATCATCTTTAGGGACGTAATAATTCACGATTAATTTTTCATTAAAAATATATCTACATCGGGAATTCAACCACGCATGAATCTTGTAAAATCAATGCCAAAAGAGGAAAAAGACCATATTTATTTATTATTATCAAATCTCTCGCGAAGAAAATGTTTTCTTTATTGTATACTATATTTTTTTATTATGCTAAAGTGCAGTTATACTAACAACTATCTTACATTATTCATAATTAATATATTAATATATTAGCATATTAACACATATATATATATATAAGGATGTCTATATAAAAACCTTACGCGTTGAATAATCATGAACGGAAAGTTTTTTTACTTTTAAGATCCGATTTATAGTATTAGTATCAATAGGATAATATTAATGCTAATAGCAATAACAGCAGGCAATAACAATTAAAAAAAAATACGCGTTTTTTTTTTAATGATCTGTTTTCATCATCTCGAGAAATCTGTAGATTCTTTCAATCTCTTGAATTCTTTGCCGTAAAAAGTAAAAAAATCAAGACCAACGACACTTTCAAACACACTTGCATACATAACGTACATACATACGCAATACATAAACCGGCGTCTTTCGCTTTTTCCTGTCAAAAATACTAGCAATATGAATTTTGATAAAATATTCACGCTCCTTAATTCAGCAATTGACCCTTTAATTCCAAATCTTTTTCTTAAAAAGCAACCTTCTACTTCTTCAACCAATACTACCTCTAATAATATAAATGACAGTAACAATAATGAAAATGATAATAATAATTACACTATAGCAATTTTAAATAATAATAATAATAATAATAATGAAAATAATAGTAATGAAAACAACAACAACAATAATAATAATAATAATAATATAAATATTAATAACGCTAATGAAAGTAATGGTAGTACGATCCTAGAAGTAACTTCGGATAAGTACAAAGTACAAATTCAAGTTTATCAACAACCAAAGCAACACGAAGACCAACATGATCAGCAGCAAGAAGATAAACAGCAACAGCAAAATATCGACTTAAAATATTTAGTCCGAATAATCAAAATAATTCATCAACATGAACCTTTCCACGACAGACAAATAAAGGAACTTGACATATCACCATCATCAACAATTATTGATGGCCCATATCGTCACACTAAAACAACCACCACTACTAAAACGACCACCACTACCACTAAAACGACGACTATTATCCACGAGAAAAAGGATGACCTTAATTCAACATTTGATGATGTTGTCGTGGATGAATTTTCTGATAGTGGTTGTAGTAGCGATTCGGATTTCTATGATAGTGAATTTGAAGAAACGACCAAAAAAAAACGACCAAAATATTTTGATTATCCATTCAGAAAAAAGGATAAAAATCTCAATAGATCAAATTCTTCTTTATTCTCGGCTTTTTCGTCGTCTTCTTTACCAACCTTCGTGGAGAAAATTCGTCGAAGCTCTGCAGCAAAAAAATTTACTAAAAGGTCTCCAAATAATAGCAATAATAATATTGATGACAATTCAACTAACAATGGCGAGGATGATGATGACGATGATAACGATGATTATAATAAAAATGCCTCAAAGACCAAAGACAATAATCGAATTAAATCATTGCGTCGTCTCTTCAAAAATTCGCGACAGAATTCCTTTACCAAAAACACGTCCTCACCGACAACGAATTCGGTATATCCTACAAACGGTGCGAATCCGGAGTTAAGAGGACCTCTCGTGTTCTCGCCTCCGAATCCAGAACCTAGTGTCCCGTTATGGTCCGAACAAGTGGATCCCGAAGTTAAAAAAAGCATGAATCCAATGGGGATCTTGAGACAAGAAGTGATTTTCGAGATTATCAGAACGGAAAAAGAGTTTGTCGAAGATATCAAATTCTTGTTGGAGGTGATTATCATCTACAGTTCACTATGGTAATTTTCATTTGTGTATCTAACTAATTCTCGTGTAATTTACCCAATTTTAGCATTATGCATCGGCAATACTTGACTCTGATGTTCGTGTGCCGAAAAGTCTAAATCAGGCTTTGCACGTGCTCCATGAAATTTATTACCTTCACAAAGATTCATCTAGGGTAAGATTTTCTTTTTTTTTTAATTGTTGCTCTTTGAATTCCTTGTCTCGTATTAATATCTTTTCGATCGTTAACATTCTCGTGTTTACAGCAATTGCTAAATCTCCAAGCGATCTACCCAGTAGTCCCATCGATTTCTCATGTATTGAGTAATCTAGCAGCTCATCTTGGCGTCTATGATCGTTTCTTACACCATCATAAAGACGCAATTAGTCAAATAGCGATTGCAAGAAAAAAGGCTAACAAGTTTGGTCAGTTGATTGGTATGCTTGAGGCAAATAACATGAATTCCGGTCGATACTGTTCTATCGAGAGTTTAATGACCAAACCAATTCAACGACTGTGCAAGTATCCTTTGTTGGTCACGGTTAGTATTCTTTTATTATAAATGATAATGGATCTCAATTGACATAATGACTGAAAAAAACTAATTGAATTTGTATTTACATAGACTTTAATGAGGGCTACTTCACCTGATGACCAGGATTACCCTCAGCTTCGTTTGTTGCACGAAAAGTTGGACTCTGCTATCCGAGAGCTTCATCAGGAACGAGATAATCGCGCGAAAAAAGAATTGGAGCAATTAAGTCGAAAACTAAGTTTAGGACTTGGGGTAAGTTTAATATTATTAAATAAGCATTTAATGTATTTTTTTCTCAGCATTAATCAACTTCTTTTTTTTTTTTGGTTCTTCAGTTCATGGCAACTCCATTCTCGGGAAGAGCTTCAAGCATGTCCTTACGAAACCATAAACAAAATAGTAACCCCAATTTAAATAACATGACAACACCTCTCTCGACGTCACTACGAGCAAGTTGACATCTTCCTTCCGAAAGAGTCACGATAAACATTTTTTATGTGTTGTATTTTTGTGTGTACCGAATTCACGAGAGAAAGTTTATTTTCTTCCTCTCCTCGTATTGTATATATTCCAGCATTATTTTCATTCATCCTTTGAAAATATGCGTATTTCATTTTCATTTTCATCAATTGTAAAAAAAAAAATGTATACAATTGTTTTAACAAAGTGTACAGAGAAACAAAAATTAATTGCACTCATTCCATTCAAAAATTCATGTCTTGTAAATTAGGTTATTCGTCGCGGGACGAGGATTCTTGGTTTTTTTTTGTTGGTTTTTGGAAGGATTGTATTTATTAAAATTTTTTCTTACATTTTGTAGTTCGGTTGTCATTAGGTTATATTTATATATTAATAGAAAAAAGGTTTTGTACTTGATTTAGGATTTCAGTATATGTTTTTTTTTATCATTTCACTTTCACTCACCATCCAGCATTGCATCATTATCACTTTCTCCTTGTAAATATTTACAAACATCTTTACTTACAACACATACACACACGCGCGCGCGCATAAAAATACGCACATCGAAAAAGATTTGACGTAATTCATTTATTTAGAGTCACTCGTAGGATTCCATTTTTTTTTCTACTTTTTAGATTTTTGATGATTCAGAATTGGTTTCAATCAGATTGTTTATTTTTTATTCTTGCAATTGGGTCATCAAAAAAATAAAATTATCATTTATCAACCAACATTCAATCGAGATACTAAATAGTGTACATTTTTCGGTTATTTGATGATCGAAATATTGCAATCATGACCAAACTTAGTTTAATTGCTCAAGCATTTCAAATGAGTTTAAAAATCGTAATTGTCGTCCTCTTCGTTCCGCGGCCGTTTGTATCCTTCAGTGCCAACAGTCGCAGGACTTGTGACGGTACTTTGTGTAGTTGATTCTGCTTCTTGCATGTCATAATCTTCATTAGCTGGCGAGAATAATTCGTCATTATTAGACAGATTTTGTAATGGCAGAGATGGTGGTGATTGTTGTACGAATGATGAAAATGAAGACGATGGAAGATCAAACTTTAGAATAACATTGTCTTCATTGTTATCATCATCATCTATTTCATCGTTGTTACTATTATTATTATTATTATTATTGTTATTATTATTATTATTATTACTACTTCTTCTGATATGGAGATTAACTTCATCGTCTTCATCGTAGTTATCATCATCTTGTTTGAAAGTTCTTTCTATTCCTGCTTGATCTTCGTCATTATTAATGCTATTAGTAATAATGTCTTTATCGTAATCCTCATCATCGTTATGGTTAACATTATTGAACATTGTTGTGGAGAAAGGAGTTTGTGTACTTGTTGATGGCGGTGTTGGATCTTCAGGGCCGAGGAACTGTTGTTGCTGTTGCTGGCTTTGAAGAAACTGTTGTTGAAATAAAGATGATGATGTTTGCTGTGGTGTTGGTGATTCTTGTGTCTAATTCCAAAACAAGTATATATATAGAGAGAGATCATTCAAAGAATCAAAAAGAGCTTTTTCTTATACATTCTCTATACCTCGGGTATTAATTGAAAATTGACAGCTGTCATGCAATAATGCTCGGGTGGTAATCGCAATCCATATTTTTCCGGAATATTCGGTAATCTTTCTTTGTTTACTTCTCTGGCCAATTCAACTAAAAACTATTCCAACAGACATAGTTAAGATTTCATTAATAATTGATCAATGTAATAATCGTGTATACCTCTTTTGAAGGCGGTGAAGTGAACGAATGGTTGACGCGTCCTTGAATGGCTAATTTCACATCTTCTAAATCAAGGTCATTTATTCTACCAGCGTGTTCCGAATATATTAATGCGTCTTGCAGCACGTCTACAGAATATCCTAGTGACACTAGCAGTTTAGCATATCTCGAAGTGTTGAAAAGAAACATCGAATGATTGTCAACAACATACTATGTGCAAATTCTAGCAGTTGCTGAACTACCTTTGGCTCATACTCTTCAACACCCACCGAGGAAAGTATTAATGAAATGATTTTGGCATCGCGTGGTGAGTGTCCTTGTAAGTTATGTGAGGCCATTTTCACTAACGCTAATTATTAACGGAGGCGGTGGTAGTAATAATAGTTTCTACATAAATTTCTCGGGTAACACACATCAAGTGACAAAAATATATATCATCATAATTCTTGAAAAATTTTTAGGGCAATTTTTTAACATCGTCAAAACTTCCATATGGTATGTTTGTCTTTCGCGCCTTTGTTTTGTGTTTATAATTGGTAAGCTAATTTTTATTTCATTCGAAAAAAAAAATAGGCCAAACGAACAAAAAAGGTATGAATAAAATATAAACTCTTAAGTAATGATAAAAATTCACGACCACATATCTATAGGTCGGAGTTGTTGGTAAATACGGCACACGATATGGTGCCTCGTTAAGAAAACAGATCAAAAAGATGGAGATCACTCAACACTCGAAATATACTTGCTCTTTCTGTGGCAAGGTAAATTCATCAATCAAAAAAGATATTATCACAACTGATGATGGTTTCTAAGAATGTATTCCTCTTCGATATGATAGGACACAGTCAAAAGAAAAGCGGTTGGGATTTGGCAATGCCGCGCTTGTAAGAAAGTATTGGCTGGTGGCGCTTGGACCGTATCGTAAATGTTGATTAATATTATCCTCTGTTTTACGTATACGTTTTATGGTCCGATTCTAATCTTATCATCCATTATTATTATTTGTTAAACAGCACCACTACAGCTGCCACTGTTCGATCGACCGTGCGTCGTCTTCGTGAATTGATGGAAGTTTAAATTCATTATTACTATCTGTATCGCATTATCATCCGCTCATTAGAATATAATACAAACAAACGTGATATTTAAATTTTCTTGGATGTGCTGGTTTATTATCGTCTATCAAATAATAAAGTAATGGTACAAGAGTTCGAATTCTAATTTATTATTAATCACAAAAGATGTCCAAAATAAATTAAAATTCGAATAAATAAAGATTTCAAGTAGAAGGTGTGTCAGTTAAAGTAAGTTTAGGATGAAGTAATCGGTTAGTAAATTCTTTCCATAAAATTTGTCGTTCGTTCAATACTCCCCCACCAAGAATACTCGAATTTTCTTGAGCACGACGCAATAAATACGGTATTACGTCAGTAATCTTGGCAACAAAAAAAAATTCCATATTAAAAATAGAATAGAATAAAATCAAACTGACAATTAATAAATAATTACCTTGCCATAGGGAACGTATTTGTAAACAGTATAACCGTGTTTACCAAGAGTATAAGAAATATGATCACACATTCCTACACACATACATTATTATTATACATATAGCTTATAAATATTATTCTTATGTCATAAACAAGAATAAATACATACCAAATAATTGTCCGAATAGCACCAAACTGGATTTTGATGGTATTTCAAGATCATCCATTAACCTGCACGCACGAATTATCGTATCCTTATTATGTGAAGCGATCATAAAAATTACAGGGCTAGTCGCAATATCTAACGGGTTCCCTGCATTTTTCTGCGCTTCACTTTGTTTATTAATTAAGAATTCAACCCCACGATTATATGAATCATGTGTGTCTTGCAAAGTATCGTGAATAGGATCGGGATAATTTTCGATGGCTGCACGCTTACGCTCACTTACTATATAAGCTCCACGAACAAGTTTGACCGCAAATACAAATTGATGACGACAAGAAAGTTCACAATGCATGGCTAGTCGCGTTCCAGCATCTTTCAGGTACATCTGATACGTGTTGAATACAATAGGCCCGTGTTTGTTATTTGGTTTATTGTATCGATGAGCAAGTGTTAGGGATACGTGATCAATAGCTGGTAGAGAATATAATTGCTCTGCGTCAATCATAATTCGAACTTTCTTCTGTTGGCCAATTTCACATATTTTGTTTAGTCGCTCCAGTAATCTATCGTAATCTTCCACATCTACGTTTGTCACTGACGTATTATTGGTAGCAGAAAGTAATGCTCTGAATTCACCATTGTCTAACGTAAGTACGCTTATAAAATCAATCCAGTTGATAACACCGTCCTTATCAGAGTCCACCGTATCGAAAAGTTTCCTTGAAATATTGTCCGAATCAGTTTGAAAGATCTCTCTTATCATCAAGTTAAATTCAGATCTGTTGAGTTTGTTATCAATTTTAGTAGCGTGCTTATAAAATGTGCTTGATAAAGAGTTTAAAAAAGTGGACAATCGCTTCAAGAAAACTGGATTTGAGAGACCAGTAATTTTGATAGCCACAAAACTATTTGGTTCGGTGGCAATAGTTTCAATGGACTGAATAATCATACGTGCAACATGATCGGCTTGTTCATTCCATTTCTTTCGAACAATACCATTATTCGGATCATCATTTTCGTCATTAAAATCTGCTTCGATAGACAAATCAAGGATCGATCCAATTCCATGTTTTTTCAAATTATATATCGTGTTCACGCAATCCTTGGCTGTCTCGCCGCTTTTTGCAGAAAAAAGTATTGGTTATCATTGGAGCTTTAAAAACAAACTTTGAAAGGGAATTAGGACTTACCCGCAAAATTGAGCAAAGAAGGTTTTCCTAATCACCCAATACATAGGAGACCCAAGATGCAATTTTTCCGCAAAAGAAATAAGATAAGGTGCCTGATCAATCAGCATCTGATATGAACAAAGCTTATATACTATCAAAGATCGGATCAATTCAAGCATTGATTTATTTTGAACAGCTATATGGCTGTCTTCTGAAGCGAGTTCTGCCATTGAAGAAAGCGAATGATCTTGTGATTCGTTTAAAGAAAAGTTATAGTACGAGCTAACTGCTGCAAAGCCAATGAATGTTGTTACTAAAACAGTAGGCCACGCAAATTTCTGTCTAGAGGTGGCTGCGAAATGGCTATGACGAATACTGAGCGAAGAATTTCGAAGTGGAAATCCAGTGAAATTATTATTTTCAGAAACTCTCAATAAACTTGTAAACTGTGAGAAACTTGCAAACTGTGGGAAACTCTTCGAGTTAGAAATAACTCGAGTTGCACAATTTGCGGTGTTTTTACTTTCAACTGATAAACTAGTAAAAGAGTCACCTAATCGGGCCAATTCTGTTCTATTAAAAGAGAAGTTTTTCCTAAAGATGAAGCGACTGTACATTTCCAGCCACTTAACGTCTTGAAGAAAAAGACATAAAAAACTTGAGCAAGCATACCGATACTACATATCTAAAAAGAACTTGATCGTGATGATATAGAACAAAAGGACCTTTATCAGGTGATTTCTTCTTCATATCGGCAAATTTCACCCACACGTGATCTTAAATATAAAATTGTCATCACGTATAGTTGTCTGTTTCACTCTTTGGGCTTATACATACTGTCTTTCTAGTAAAGATTCTTTTATGTTCTATGTTCCGGTTTATTGGTTACAATTTCAGCACTCAAGAAAAAATCCGTTTTTTATTCACGTTATTAAATATCCATATATTTCAAACCTTTGCAATTTTCCACTTCCACCAACTCATTCTCATGATTTTAGTCATATCAATCAGTCAAGTGATTGTTACAAGAATTTTTGTGATCGGCAATTCGAATTTATAAATAATCTTTGGTTAGAATGTGTTTGTTCAATTATATGCGAACAGTTGCTGGTGAGAATGCGGAGTAAAATAGGTAATCGGAATAGTCATTAGCATTATAGCTGAATTTTCTTTAATGAGATGGTAAATGTATAATACGCGTAGAAATATGAACTGCGCAGGAATTAATTCACGTTCTATGGTTTCTTTTCAATTGTTTATTTTGTCAAAAGTTCACGCGATTTTCTTGATATCTTGACAACAAAATAATATAATTTCCAATTTTTCCAATTTCACTTTTCTTGTTCATAATAGTTTTTTATTAATATATTTTTTTTATAATTAATATAATTAATATAATCAAGAAAATTAATTACAGTCAAACCTCGATATAACGAAACCTGGATATAACGAAACCTGGATATAACGAGATCCTTGATATAACGAAAGAAAAAAAGACCTTTTGTTTTAAAATTACCTCTATATAGCGAAGTTTCATAAGGAAACTCGATATAAAGAAAAAAAATTTCCAGCTCAAGAGGTTCGTTATATCGAGGTTTGACTGTAAAGATTTTTTTCTTAATATTTTGTTTTGTTATACAAACATATTAAAATATAGATAGTAAATAATAATATCAGTATATAAATATGAAAATAAAAGTTATAAAAATATAAATATGAAAAAATTATATCCTCAATTTTTTCATCATTTATGTGAGAAAAGCTTCTCTAGGTACATATCTTCCGGGATATAGGACCTCATATCTATAATTCCTTTTGTCAAAGACAGGGAAATAACTTGATATTCTCGAACATTATTTGTTATCAATTGGTTGGAATTTAGCCTGGCACGGAATTCTCAACCACGTCAGCATTTCCACGAGCATGAACGTCCTTTACTTCATCTAATAAGGTATTCAGATCCAAGAGAGGCATCGCGAATATAGTGTTGCATGAGTTCCCTTACACCCTCACCCCACAACTAGTTATTAAAATTAAAGATATTCAATCAATAAAGAAATACTAATAATTAAATATTAATGATTCACTCAAAGGCCAAATGACCAAGTCATTTGGCAACACTGACACAAACTGTGAAGGTCTTCTACCAAGTGTAGGGAAGTTATCAAAGGTTACCCATGAAACTCGTTCCCACGTGCCATAACGCGCTGCAAGATTCCTTCTCTTGTCAGTAGTTATAGAGGACATAGATCTTCTGGATTTTGCAATCAATTTGATCTTCGTATAAGCCAAATAAAAGTCAACTTGATTGATTAGAGGTAGAAGTTGCAGAGAAGCTTTACCGGTTTTGATGGAAGATAAACTTTTCTGTTTTTTGACCCAAGGCTGTTTCTGAGATCGCCTGCTCATCACCAAAGCGTTTTCAGTTTTAACAGCTATTTCTTGGCTATGTACAGCTATTATGTCAACCCTATCCTCTTCTTGCTCTGCGTGCTTTTAAACCGAAGTCAGTAATCCTCGAGATTCCTTTCAGAGTTTATTCGACATTGCACAAACAATACGCGCAGGGTGGCTTGCAAAGGTGGCTAAAATAGTCAAATCACCACTTATTCGCCGTGTTTGCGAGGATTATTTGACCAAAACTTATATTTAATGTCTAATAACCTCTTTCCAAAGTAGGCAGATTCATATTGCAATAAAAAAGGTTTATGTTACACGCCTCATCACTTTTGTTGCAGCATGCAATATGACGTCATTGATGATTCGGTGTTATCATTCTGGTTATGTCGTTGGTTCCTTCCTCTATCTTTGCACTCAATTTTGCTTAGATCAATCAATTAATCTTTTAAAATGGAACCCACTGAAACCGAAACGTTTGGTAAGCGTCTGTTTTTTTCCGTTTGTTTGGACTTCCAATAACAAAATTAGTGACAGTGAACCAAATTGCTGCCATTTGAGTACCGACATCGTTGCTGCTAATGAGCATGAACCTAGTTAATATTGTTTGAAAATTCTCATAGACGAATTCAAACGGAAACGAGAGCGTGAGACGTCCATTGAATCACAAGTGCCCGAAGCTTCTGCCAAGGTACCTTAGCTGAAATCTCAAAAACGAGCCTTTTGGCATTTTGATTTTCATTTCCATTTCTTCCAAATTTTAAACCATTGGGCTTTTAATTTATTCTATTAGAACTCGACCAATGAAGATGAAGACAAAATAGCAGTTCCGGCTAAAAAAACGTAAGATTTATTATAGATAAATCTAAGTTAACATCGATGTAAGATTGATTGAGTCTTTTTGGTTCAAATAGACGCCACGACACAGCTTTAGAAGAAAGAAATCGGAGAGAGGGATCAGAAGCTCCTGTTCGAGCACTGGCACAAAAAGTAGAAACATTAAAGGTTGAGGGAAGTACTCTTGGAGAATATTCGTCCGAAATTAAAAATAATATTACGGAAGCGCAACCCATGATTATCTCCAATGATCTGGATCCTGTTGCTTCTAAAAAACGCCAAATAAGTGAACCTAGTATAGAAAGTGATTCTGACCAGACGAAGATTATAAATAACACTCCACGAAAGCTTTCACGCACTTATTCCGATGATAAAAAAATTCATGTTGAAGATACTGAGAAAATTACACCTAGAAAAGAGAAAAGTCAAACTGATAAAGAAGATTCTCAAGATAATGAAATAGCACCAGAAAAAAGCAAAGACACATTAGAATCAAATGAATCTGAAGTGAATGCTGCTTGCCCAGAAAAACCACTGTTCCCTGCAACAAAAACATCTCAAAGTGGCAATATTTTTCCTAAACTTTCTATTCCTTCTACAACTCCAATTTTCGGAACTACAAATTCACTTGCAAGAACATCAACTGTAAGTGCAAAATTATATCTTCTATTACGCAAGCAAATTTCTTTCTGTCACATAAAATTTTCGGCGTTTTCAATTAGTCTTTTGGGGTCACAAGCCAGTTGGCTACATCACCAACCTCAAATTCTTCCTTTGCGACGATAACTTCACCCAGTTCTTTTAAGGCTTTCGGATCAACAAGTTTTACTTCATCCTCGTCGTCCCCTTCCACCTCAACCTCTAAGGCTACACCATTCTTAAGTTTTGGTGTGCCAGACGCAAAATCTGAAAAGTCATTCAGTGCATTACTTGCAATATCACCAACCACCGCAACGGATGAACATCAGGATAAAGATAAGGAAGGAGAAATATTTGGAACCTCTTCAAAACAATTACTCTCGGAAAAAGAAGGTATGATGTAGAATAAATTATTTCTATCGATCGTCATTCATCGTCAAATTACTTATGTATCATAACCCCGAAAAGTTAAGACAGGGGAAGAGGATGAGGATACACTGTTCACATCGAGAGCCAAATTATATTGGATGGATGAACAACTCAATTGGAAAGAACGTGGTGTTGGATACATTAAACTCAATGTAAAATCAAACACCATGAAATCCCCACGTCTTGGTATTTTTGATTTCTTTGACTAATGTACATTCATGTTATCTTTATAAAAAGTTAACTAATTAGACATGATTTTGTATAGTAATGAGAGCCGACGTTGTTTTTCGCCTTATACTCAATGTTTCATTATTTGAGGGTATGCCGGTTCAACTTGAAGAAAATTTTGTGCGCATAGTTGCCATTGAGAACAATAAACCCGCCAAATACGCAATTAAGGTAGTTTTTCAGCATTTTCGGGTTTTTGTATGGATTCTTTTTAATCAATATCGACATTTTACCGGTATTATAAATAGCTAAATAACGCGGATGTATCTCAGGAACTTTATATGAAGATATTGAACTGCATAAAAGCGTCACAATCTTCCAGTAAATCATTAGAAAAATCGATAACTGAGGAATCTTCCAAAACGACGAATACGATGACGACGACTACTGAAAAAGATAAACAGCTGCAACGTGATGAAGAGCTGCAACCACCACAACTACATTTACAAGATAAAGAACAAGGACAATCATAATTTGAATTAATTAATTTACTATTTGTATATTTGTTAGTATAAAATCGATGCTTTCTTGATTATCAGATGATTTTATTTATTTCACCTTTTTTGTCTGTATTTAAATGAATCAATGAAATAAGCTTGTGATCTGGTGTAGCACAGAAACAATTAATATAATCATGGGCGCATGCACTGGGAATTAATCGATCTTTACACCTAAACTGATTTTGGAATTTTACTCTAAACCTTTAATAACAACAAAGATTCGATGGTAACCAACGTGGTTGAAGTTCCAAAAGAGACGACACAACGACAAAAATACACTGTTAATTTACCAGCAACCTCGTCATTGGAATCCGCTTTAACAAACCTCGAGTCGAGAAGCCCACTCAATTTAACACAAATTACCAATTTCTTTCGACAAGAGTTTCTATCACGTTTTGCGGCAATTGAAAACTGGTATGCTAGCACCTGGTTACATAGACAACTGGTGCGTCTCGGCATACCAGAACTTTACTTGTCACTCACGGTTGCCGTAACTATACTGCTGACTACACGACACTTCTACAAAAAATCTGTTTATCTTTTTACCAATTTGGTGGGAGTTATATATCCCGCCTATCGCTCGATAAAGGTTTTGGACGAAGTGACGACAAATCAAATGGATAATGCAGAAAACATTTCCGAGCAAAAACAATGGCTCAGTTATTGGACCATTTATGGATGTATTCAAGTTGGCGACAATTGGTCGAAATGGCTCTTGGAAATGTTCCCGGGATATAATTTTATCAAATTAGCCTTTTTATATTGGGCACAAAATGACCGATCCAAAGGAGCCAGTGTTGTTTTCGATCATATTATTAAACCTTTGATATATAATCCATCATCAAATGTAAAGAAAGAACTGAAGCAAAGACAACGGCAACGACAAAATCCACAACATCAAACTCCACAAAATCAAACTCCACAACATCAATTACGAAAATCCTTGGATAATATTTCTAATGAGGTTCCTGCAATTTCAGGTGTGGTTATTAGTAGTGGAACGTCGGTCCCTGGTACTACTACCCCTTCTTCTTATCCTGAACCTTCCCCTGAAGAAATTTGGCAACGTGGTTATTCTGAAGTAAATGAGGGTGAGGTGAAACCTTACAGATTGAGTAATGATCCGTAAATACCCCCAATAAAGATTACGAGTTTTATATTATAACCATTGAGAGCACAGAGAAAATTGATATAAATCAAAATTTAAATATTAAACAAAACATTTCTATTAAAAATTCACGAAAAAGATTAATGAAAAAAGGGAATAGTATAATCATCGTCAACCATCTATAATTTTTCCTTCTAATTATTATTAAGATAGAATATAGTATTATTTCAACGTCGTCTTCCACCACCACCACCACCTCCTCCACCACCGCGCCTTGCACTTGTTCGATAAAAAACGGTTGGTTGATCTAATTCCATCGAGTTCTGTTGCTGTAAATTCCTACGTAAATGACCCACAACTTTTTCCTTGACCCAATTTCGATCACGCGGCATGTATGCTTTTAAGTTCTGGTCATACACAAGCGCGTGGAATTCTTGATGCTCATCAATAAAGGATAATAATTGATCGACGGAATAATTTATATGTGAGAGATTCGGATATTGTTCGGTTAATCGAGCTTCGTGCATCGCGATGATCGCTGAATTAGAGAAATTATCAGAGATCAACAATAAAAGTGGGAGCTGGCTGAATAATTATTAAAAAAAAAAGAAAATTGGGATTTGTTGGCAATTGCAATCTTTTTCTTTTGTTTCATGCAAAAAACCTTTTGCCTTTTTACGACAACAAATGCAATAATAAAAATATGATGATCTTTATTGTTTGTAAGACCATACAAATGATAGCATCTTTTTTTAGTTGAATTAGTTTGATTATTCCTTATCTCATTAAAGATATTTACCTTCTGTTGCCAACGCGACTGTAGAGTAATCAAACCAAGTTCGAGTACTACGGCTGTTTGTCTTTTGAATCAGAAGAATGGTGTGTACCGTCTATTTTAATCAAATAAATTCATTTATTCTTAATTCATGTAATGTTTGTATATAGATTAGTGAAGAACAAAAGGACTTTTTTTACCATTGTGATTTAGGAAAGCAACAACAAATTTATATTGACCACAAATATTTACTACATTAACTTCATATGAATATCTGGGAGCACGTGATTTTATACGGATTTTCAATGAACATCTTATAAAATCAAATAAGGACAATAGCATCATGTTGATATCAATATGCAAACGTTCAAACTGAATATGAAATTTCGGCCTCTCAGGAAAGTGGTAACCACACACGCGCAAAACAGCGTTTCACCTCAACAGATGGTGCGACCCTTTTAGTAAAATTTGACACCTGTCTTTCCTATTTATACTCCTTATCATGAGTAATTTTAAGCGGGTTTATTTCCCCTTAAATCGATAGTATTTCCTTGGATGTTTGTCTTTCCCTCATTATCTTTTTATCCATTGTTTTTTAATGTGACGAAGAGAGTTCAATAATAAATTATCTTTTTTTGAAAAAAAAGTTTAGAAGAACGAACGCGAACATGGTCATTTTTTCTCGTCACTTTATAGTTTATTTATTTGCTACTATATTATTACTTGCTCAATGTACTTTTTCGCTTGAAAGTCGAGAAGCTATTAATGTTTATAATCGTCGAGATAATGACGGAACTCTGTTGTGCAATGGCAATGCCGACCTTTGTGATTTGCGCTTCAACCAAGTTGTTAGTATATTTACGCGTCAATTTTAAGATGTATCATGAATAAGGAATTTACATAAAAGTTAAATATATATTCTGAATTCGAATTCATTTTTCGATAGACGCACGCGGGTACTCATAATAGTATGGCGTATAATCTTCGATTCGATTGTCAAAACGTCGTGCGGAATTGTCGCGATTCAACAAGTGTTTGCTTAAAACAACACACAGAATGTCTAGCCTCCTATAAGGTACATTGCGAAGCTTCAAAAGACATTTGTAAACAACGTAATCCCAGACTATTACATTGGATGTGCGATGGCTTTGATGCAGTTTGCAAAAAATCTGATGCCGCAATTTGTTCTGCATGGCTTGCCATATGTACTGACAGTTCGAAAGTGTGTAATGTCTGGGGAGAGGCGTGTGGTGATACGGTCCCCGATTGGTTGTTGGAATGTTTTTGGGAAAATCATCCTGGCCACGATATAACTATCCAATTAAGAGATGGTAAATACGTGTGCATGCAATATACAATTTATGCTCGATTTTTTTATTTTTTGTTTGTTTGCTATTTTAGGTATTCGATTATTTGATTTGGACACATGTCAAGTAAAAGATAAAGTGTTGTTATGTCATGGAATGGGACTAGCACGAGCACTTGGCGATGAACTTGATCTAGTATTCGAACAATTTCGCGATTTCCTAAAGGAAAATCCCAATGAAATTATCTCTATTGAATTTGGTGATATTGATGGAGATGGTGCATTTATCGGTGATTACATTCAAAAGAAATTAGAAGAATATTTTATTGACGAAACTGGACACTCGTTGCTCTTCTCGCGAACATTGAACAATAACACTTGGCCCACTCTACGCCAAATGATTGAGAAAGATCAACGAGTAATTATTTGGTTCAGTTATCTTTACGATCAGACTCCAAACCGACGACCATGGATTCATAATGTATGGGATTGGTTTACCGCCTCGTATTCTTATACCGCTGAAGATATGACTGCTGCTCAATTGAACAGCAGTTTCACTGAATATTGTAGAAATGCTAATCAAGTTATCAATCATGATAAGTTAACTTATGGACGTGTACTTTGGCAAACCATTGATGCGACGTAAGTATTGGGATGATTATTATGGTTTGCTACTTTATCTTCTATTTTTTCATAAATTTTTATTTCAGGACGGGAATTGTGTTACCGCAAGTAAAAGATGCCATAAAAAACAAAACTAATCCTGGACACATATGCTTACAACAATTAGCCGAAACAGTCAACTTTGATTTACTCGATTACGTGGCTGATTTATGTTACCCATTGTTTCCCTATATTTATCGTGTTCGCGTAGATTGGTATTGGCGTAGTAACCTCTTCGAGGTTGTGAAACGATTTAATGAGATGAATGTAGCACGAGTGAAAAAAGGAGATATTCTCACTCCGGTATGATGATTATAATAGCATTAATCTTTGTTTATTTGATGGCGCTTTTTACTTTTCCCCTTCCCCCCAATTTCTTCCTTCCTGTTGTTTGTGTATTTTATTACCTTTTCCCCTTAATTTCTTCCTTCCTGTTATTTGGGTTTAGGTTTTTGTGTGTATTTAGGTTTTTATTATTAAATTTCAGGGTCATAAGATAGATAACTTATTTATAAGCATAGTTTATTTACTATTTGTATTTTATGTATATTTTTTGTATTATTTTTACTGTAATATAATAATTATTATAGGCCACGGAATTACTGGATGATTCCGACTGGAATGTGAAGAAACAAGAGAAACATTTAATGAGACTCGAACATCATCATTATCGTCATAAAGTACAACAAAAATACCAAAATCAACAACAGCAATTACAACAACATCTTCTACTTGATCTCATTCGAAAGAAGATTACAAAAGTTAAAGAGTGATTTTGTTTTTTCGTGTATTTTTTTATTATTTTTATGGTCGATTAAATTTTTTTTAGAAACTATCCAAGCTTTAAATAAATCTATATATACATACACCCTCTAGTCAGATAGAAGTTTGATTATATCAATTACAAACCTTTTGAGCTGATTATATCGAAACTTCGTTATATAAAGGTAGTTTGATATGAGAGAAATTCTCCGTCATAAGTTATACCTAAATACTTGTGACCAATAATCACGTGATATCATCATTCGTACGATACCCAATAAAAGAAACACCAACTAGTGATAGTAATAAACGAATATAATTCAAAAAAGGATCATACAAAATCAGCTAAAAAAGTTCGAATTTTCGCGTCGACTCGGCTAATATTTCGTGAAATCGCTAATGACGTAAAAATAGAGACTAGAATCGCGTTTCAGGATTCCTCCGGGAAATCAAACACGCGCTATATTATTATCGATATGTATTGTTGGTCGGTCGTACATAAACTATTATTACGCATTTATTTCTTTTTCACTTCGTTTATATGACGATAACGTTTTCTCAACTCATAATTTTTACATATAATTTTTTAAATTTTCTTCTGTATAATATAGAAAACTGTTATTTTATATTTTATATATTAATATATCTTAAAGTATATTACAAAAGATGTCGCGTAGAAGTTCAGACGACGAATCTATTGAAGTTCGAATGGAAGATATATGTCCCGCCGGCGGGATACATGACATGGGTTGGTAGTGATAACTTATCTATATTGGTTTATGAGAAGGGAAACCAAGAATTAATCTTGGTAATTGATTTATAGAGAAAAAATGGATGTGCACAAACTATGTCTCTGCTTGTTTCTGTTGTCCTTGTTACTTACTAAAGGAAATATTTTGTGGTTGGTGTTATAGGTAAATAAATGTCAACGAGAATAGTATGTATTTTCGCGATTTTGACACTCAACTAATGATATATATTTAACAATTCTATAAAGAAATCCTTCTGCTGATGATTTTGACGGTATGTATTCCAAAAAGACTATTTGAATGCTATTGAAATCAAAATCATTAATTTCTTTACTTCGTAATTTTGACTATTAAACAGGAATTGGATGTAGACCTACTGTAAGTCACAATTATATTCACTATTAATTCAATTCTCACAACATAAATTAATCTTAAAAAAAATAGGGCCCAGAAATTTGTTCAAAATGTGGACAGACATCTAAGCAAGTAAAAGAAGCAACAGTATTACGAGTATTCCATCAACATCCTGGCGGTGATTCATCTACTACAAAGAAGGCCAATAATAAAGCTTCATTACCACCACAATTACCAGCACTTTCTTATGCTAGCACACCACAAATGTTTTTTACACCACCGCCTTCATATTTGAATGTATCTGAACAGAGTTTCGAACAACAACAGCAGCAGAGACGAAGTTTTGAAAATAGAAATCTATCTGGTCAAAATCAGTCTAATAATAATATTAGTAAGAGTGAAGGAAGGAGAAGTATGGAAAATCAAAACAATGCGAGTCGGAATTAAAGCTGGCAATTTACATTATTTATACGAAGAACAAAATACGCGTAATACGCGTAATATTGCAAATCGGAAGATTAATAAAACAATTCTCATTTACAATATGAGATTAACACGGCAAAGGATTTGTTTTATTAAGCGAATGGACCTTTCTACATATTATATATATCGTCAGGGTTCTTTCTCATTGGACTTATAAAATTTGTCCAATGGCGCAGTTCTGGACTGACAACCCGGCATTACATTCTACCCCCTGTATACACATGATGTGATTATAGTGAGATGTGCTTATATTGGAGGTTTTTTTTAATAGTCATATATTTAGTGGCTCAGAAATAGTGACTATAGAGGGGCGTGATTATACGAGGGTGCTTATAAGGGGGTAGACTGCATATCATGTATCCTATATATAATAATTATGGTGCAAGCCACTGCGAAGCCAATAAAAATGTTAAACATACATATCATGTGAATCGTGATTTTTTATTTGAAATCAATCGGACAGTGCTGAATCACGTGGCCTTTGACACAAGAAAATAAAAAATGTGGAAAACAGTAGCTTGAAGTACTAACAAAAAATGTCGGAAAAGCAATTTTACATATAATCTTATCCTCAGCTCTAACCCAAATGATAAAATAATCTTCAACGTCAATTTCCTGTGATCACGTGCGCGTGGATTTTTTGAAGGCCACGTGATCATGCACTGTTCAGAAATCAATTCGCCAAAAATTCACGCTCACGTGATCACGAAAAATTAACGTTAAAGATTATTTTATCGTTTGGACGAGGATTAGAGTGAAGGACAAGGTTATATATAAATTTGCCTTCCTGACATTTTTATTAGTGTTTCAAGCCATCTGTTTTCCGTATTTTTCATTTCCTTGTGTCGGATTTGTTTTGTTCATGTGATAACCAGTGATGAAAATTGGAAATTCTAATTGCTCATTAAATTAATATTATACTGTACAAAAAAAATACGGTATATTATAGTTCTTGTCAAAAGATATTTCAAAATGTGATTAAAGTATTTGGATACAGTTTTGCGTTAGATATATTGTATCTGAATAGCCAATCAAATTTTATGAGGATATCAGCAATCAAGATTGCCATGTGAGCGTGACAGATTCGTCATGTGATTGCTTACGAACAGATTCGCGGTTATGGTCAGTCTTCCATTATAAATTTCAAATTTACTGTTTCTCAATATCTCAAGCAAGAGAGGAATCTTGGGTGGGCTACAAAGAGAGATTGATTCTGAGAATTGGAGCAAATAAAAGTAATTTTTTGTCTTATTTATATTTTTTACGTTAACCTCAGTACATCAACGTCATGGATATCCCGTTACTTCATTGTACTTGGTATACCTGTGAGACGTTTGTGAATGCTTATAATCAGAAAGCTCTTTTCTTGTAATAAAATGTTAATATTTCTTGATTGGTGAAGTTCAGTCACATGATAAAAATTCGATTTTCTTTTTTAATAAAATAAATAACAAAAATAAAGCGAAAGTATACTAAACTGCAAAAATAAAGTGCAAATAAATTAAATCGCAAAATTAAATTGTGTATTATGATTATGACTCAGTGCCAGCTTTTTAATTAAAGGTGAACTTAGATGAATTACAATATTAATCTAAGCTTACGAATCAGAGTAGCAAAGTAATATTATTAATTATCTGATAATATTCTGGTTAAATAAACTTGAGTAAATTGTATGCACATTATGTAATAAAGATATCATAAGAGAAAATAATTATAGGAGTGAAAATTAGTTTTTATTTTTGTTCACTTTTGGGAAATTTAATAAAAAAAGCATATATCTTAATAAACAAATATTTTCGTTACTTGTTAATAAATGTTTAATCTTATATTACCATTACATATAAAAATCATGTATTGAGTCTTCTTCATATGTAATTTACCTATTAGTAAAATTACACAACTACAGATAGAGAGCTCTATTGGTTTCATTAAATTCACAGACTCATATATAATTTATATATGTAACTTTTGAACTTATAATCATGATGACTAAGTCTCTCATATCCAAAGTGAATAATAAGTTTGAATCTTTGGAGATTTTTAAAGACATCACTAGATCAGCTGCTAAATATAAAGAGTTCACTTTCTCAAGAAAAAATAATAATTTTATTGAATACAAAGACAAATTATTTTGCAATACACAAAAGATAGAAAATAATGCAATTATTGGAATATAACAAAGAAAACTAAAAAAAATATTAGAAATTTTTATATCTGTTTATAATCAATTATTATCCAATAATCAACTATCATCAATTATTAATAATCAATTGCAATCAGATATAATTAATGATTATTAAAATCAAATATAATCAATTTTTTATTTAGAATTAATAATCATTTATAATTAATTTTAATTAATTATTTATAATTGATTACAATTATTTTCAATCAATTACAATTAATTACAATTGTTTATCAATTTTCAATAAAATTATTTTATTTTAATCGATTTTTAAATTTAGAGCAACTATAAAATATCTCATTTTCCTAATTTTTTATAGATACAAATATTGAAGAATAAATATTAATTATTATGATTAATAAATAAATAAGAATATTTATAATAATCATGTTTTAATTGATTAATTAGAATCTGAATTAGAATTAAAATTAAGATTTTGAATATATAATTGATTAATTTGAAGTTATAATAATTATTAAAATTAAATTAATTTGATAAATAATAGCAGTTTATTTATATTTGATAAAAATTATTATTTTTAGATAGATTACAATTAATATTATATTGATTCTAATTTTGTAAATGATTAATATAATATTTATTATATAATTAAATTACTCTATTTATTCCTTCAGTCACATGCAATCTTTCTTCTCACTTAATTTAAAGAAATTTTCAGAGTTTGAGCTTCATACTAAAAAAATTTTTGCTATTAGAAAATCTAATTACTAATATTTATTTTTTTATTTATATTGAATATCCTATTAATTTATCTTTTATAAGCATATATATGATATTAGAAAGCTTTCAAAATTTGATTTTTGATATTAATTTAATAGATATTTCAAGTAATATTTTATTTTATTAATATTTTATTAATATAATTATAATTGAATAAATAAATAAAAAATTAGTGCACAAAAAAATATATTTAGAAGATCTGCTATTTTAATTTAATGATTACCAAATCTATTTTAATTATTTTTTATATTTCTGATATCAATACTATTATAATCTGAAATTATTCCTAATTTTTTAATTTTTATCATATGATTAAATATAAATTATAGCAAAGTTTTCAAATATATTAATATTATTCATTATATTATATTTATCTAAAATGTATAATATATTTAATATTATAATAACTTAATCAAAAAAATATTTTATATAAATAAAAAATTTTTTGGATAAACCAAAAGATATCAATTAATCAATACAAAATTTAGCTAGTTAATAAATTACTTCTTGTTTATTATTTAATGAAATTATATATTAATTGATTTCATAATTATTAATCTTTACCTTATACACTACTGAACACTCAACCAGATTACTATAGAATATTAATACTGTATTATTATAAAATTATCATTATATTAAGTAAATACAAAGGAGATATTTATTAATAGTAATGTTACCTATTCAAAATTTATAGAATAGAAGAAGTTACTGTTACAGTTTAGAATTATTCCTAATTTCTTAATTTCTTCTGATTATGTGACTAAACATAAATTGTAAAGATAGCAAAAATAGTAAATTTCTCAGATATATTAACATTATCCACTAGGGTTCTGAAAAAAAGTCTGGTTTAGTTCAAGTCTGATTCAGTTTGAGCTTGAACCAGACTCAAACCTAATGAAAAGTCTAGTTCAAAAATTTGAATCTAATTAAAAGTTTGGTTCGAGTTCAGTTCAAATTTTGAACCAGACTTGAACCTGATCAAAAGTTTGGTTCAAGTTTAAGTAATTATTAATTAATATTCTAAGTAAAGTTATAGATCGTAACATGAGTTACAAATTGATATAATATAGTTAATATTTAAAATAAATATTTAAGAAGTTATATAAATTTAAAAAATAATTTTAATTATTACAATTTTAATTTATTTTAGTTTTAGTATAATAAATATTTATTTTGCTATAGTAATCATAAACTATGATTATAAAGTTGTAGCCAAAAATAAGAGCTACAAATTAATATAAGATAATTATCATTAATAATAATTATTCAGAGAGTTATATAGCATTTATGATCAAATTTAATAAATGTAAAAATAAAAATATTTTAGTTATCACTATGTAAATTTTTAATTTTTACTAAATTATAAAGTTGTAGCTTATATTTAGAGCTATAAATTAGTATATAATACTATATGCTAATCTTTAATCAAACTCGAACCAGACTCAAACTCATATAATAATTCAGTTCAAGTTCAATTTGAATTTTGAACCTTTCTTAAATTCAAGCCAAAGTTTGGTTCGAGTTCAGTTCAAATTTTGAACTGAACTCAAATCCAGGCAAAAGTCTAGTTTAGTTCAGTTCATAGAAACACTAGATTAATAGCAATAAGACTCATCAGTATTTTAAAGATGATAAATAGTTATTACAATATAATAAAATAGACAAAATATTCAAATTTGACAATATTGAAAAGATAGATCAAAAAACAAGTAATAATTTAAAAAGAAAAATACATAACAAATTTATTAGATAATTTTTAATTTTATTTGTAATTTAATTTTATTTTTATTTTTAATTTTATTTTTAAATTTAATGTTTTATTTTGTATTCCTTTGACAGAGTTCAGGAATTATGTGGAGAAATATGTTATAATATATTTTGTTTTTTATATTTTATTGAACAATTATTTAGTTTATTTTTATTGAACACTTCATATAGTATATTTTATTGAACAATATTTATTTTTAATTTTATTGGT